TCTTGGTTCTTGAGTTTCATATCTTCAATCTCAAACTCAAACTCTGCATTCATCTTTTGCTTCAAGACTTTGGACTGTTCTTGTCTTGCATACTCCACTTCTTGGACTAGTTTGGCATCAAACTGCTTTTGAGCGAGTGTGAGGTCTTGCTTCAGTTGCTCACACTTGGATTCATACTTTTTGGTCAGATCTTGCAACAGTTGCTCGTGTTCTTGCTTCAGTTGTGTCGTTTCTCTTTGCAATCGCTCACTGGCATCTGATCTTGTCTGTTGCAATTGCTTGTCAACAATCTTGAGTTGGTTTTCAAGGTCTTCGAGGTCTCTGTCTCTCTTGTCAAGATCCTGTTCTAGAGATTTCAATCGTTTCAAGTTCTTTTCAGCTTCTCTCAGAGATCTGCCAACATTCATGGATTCACTTCTGGATGACTCAATTTCCTTTTGAAGAGATTGGACTTTGGATTCAAGTTGTCTCTTTTCCTCTTGCATTCGCTTCTCTGTGTTCGACTTTTGATCAGACAGTTGTGCAAGGTCCAATTCCAGTTGCTTGGCACTAGATTTGTTCTGGTTCAGATCATCAAGGAGCAATTTCACATTTCTGACAAACACTTGTGTCGAAAAGGCTTCTGGAGATGCACCAGTTGCAGCTTCGATCTTCTCGTTCAACTTTCTGAGCAAATCTTCCAGTTGCTTGTCTTGGCGTGCCATTTGAAGTTGGTTGGAGGTTTCTTCCAAATCACTCTTCAGGTTGCTCATCTGTCGCTCCTTGTCATCAAGTCTCTTATTGGCTTGCTGTAGACTCTGTTCCAGTTGTTGCAACAGAGACTTGGACTGTTTGGCTTCTGCATCTGCGTTGACCAGTTGCTTTTGTGCTTTGGCAAGATCCAGTTTGAGTCTGTTGTAATCTGGCTCATTGTATCCCGAGTCTGCATCCTTCTTTTCCAATCTCTGCAACTGTCTCTGCAACAGATCCACTTGTGTGTCCAATTCCTTGATTCTTCTCTCAGCACTCACGAGTTTGATTCTTGATTCCTTGTCACTGCCAGACTGCGTGGATGGTGAAGCATCCAGTTTCCACTTCAAGACAGACGAAATGTGTTTCAAGACACTTCGTTCTGCATCCACGAGTTTGTGAATGGTCTGCCAGATCTGTTGTGCCAGGATATCCATTGTCTTTTGAACCTGTTCCAACTGCTCTTGTCCTTGTCTCTTGGATTGTGGATCTGTTGTTTTGGTCAAGTTTTCTGCTGCTTCACGAACACGTTCTTCCACAGAGACTTTGGATTGTAGTGACATGAGTCTGGCAGTCAGTTGCTCCAACTTCTTCTTTTGCTCTTGGTACGAATCCATCGACAGCATTGGGAATCCTTCAGAGTCCTGGTTCGCAAACTCGACCAACGACTGCATTTCGTTGTCGTTGCTAAAGTCTGGTCCAGATTCGGCAGAGAGCATTGTGTAGCGAGACTTGTCATCTTGCATAAACACTGGGTCTAGTTTGTAAGCAGCACAGGCAGCAATGAAACCACCAGAAAAGACTTGGTATTCTGGTGATTCCTTTTGAGGCACTGGTGGCGGTGGAGAAGTTGGTCTACTTGCAGATCGTATCGAGCTCGGTCTTGAAACACTGCGTTTGGGAATCATGACACCACTGGTGGTTGAGCGTGGTGAAGTGGGAGATTGCATCTTGCGATCTTCCAGAATGGGTTTTCTTACAACATTTGGGGACGTTCTCAGTGGCTCTGGAGTGTCTCTAGGTGGTGTGATTGTCTTGTCTTCAACAGAGTTCTCTCGTGTGCGCTATCATCAACACAGGTACTTCTCTTGGCGAAGATCTGGCAGAGTAAACCGAACGTGCTGGTCGTTCAGATCTGCTTCTTTCACGAATGCGCTCTGCTCTCTCAGCATCTCTTGCTGGTCTCTCGCCAATCTCTCTTGCTGGTCTGTCACCAATGTCTCTTTCTGTTCTTCCAAGATCGCGCTCAGTTCTTCCAGTGTCCCTTTCTGTTCTTGGAGATCTTTCAGCATCTCTGTCTGTTCTGGAAGGTCTGTCAGTGTCTCTTTCTGCTCGGGCAGATCGTTCAATATCTCGATCAGATCTGGACGGTCTTTCACTTCCAGTTCTCGATGGTCTCTCTGTATCACGCTCCCCTCTTGCAAGATCAGTGTCTCTTATTGATTCTTGTCTTGTGTCTTGCTTGTCGCGAGTTTCTCGCTCCAGACGTTCTCGCCGCTCTCTTCGCTCCCTCTCTCTGTCTGACCTGTCACTGCGTGTGCGCTCTCTTGGTCTGACATCATCTGCTGGTGGCACCTCCTCATTGCTGGGTCTACGCTCTCTGAGACGCCTATCGAAAGCAGACTCTGCTCGCGACTCGCCTGAAGGCTGCCGAGCATGCCCAGTGTCTCCATCCAATCGCCTGCGTGACCTAGAGCGTAGTCTCGATGGCGCTTCCTCTCTTGGAGGCTCATCAGTCATGTCTTGCATTTCGTTCATAAGAGCATTCAAGTCCACTTTCTTATCTCACACCATATACCTGCCGCTCTGACCGCTCTCGTGGCCTGCGTTCTCGAGGCTCTCTCGACATGAGGAAAGTCAAGCGCGCCGCCAGCCGCAGACAGTAGCACAGGTGTTTCAAAATCCAAGGGATATGAAGGAATGTCGTAAGCAAGAGTGTGAATCTCGATTGTGCCAAAGAATATCATGAGGCAACTCATTGTGTGAATTTCTCGAATTTTATTCCTTATCGTATTCCAGCGACTGTGGTATCACTGTAGCGTCATTTCATGTCATCCCGTTGAGCCGATCGCTCGAGTTTGGAACGCCGCGTTCTGATTGGTTTAAATTCTCCGACGCGCTTCTCTTTTTTCCAAGTCTGCCATTTTTTCCTAATGGCTAAGAGAACAAAGAAGGTCGGTGTCACTGGTAAATACGGTACTCGTTACGGTGCTTCTTTGCGTAAGACTGTGAAGAAGATGGAAATTACACAGCACGCCAAGTACACTTGCACATTCTGTGGAAAGGACGCTGTCAAGCGCCAGTCTGTCGGTATCTGGAAGTGCAAGGGTTGCTCCAAGGTCTTGGCTGGAGGTGCCTGGACTGTTGGCACTACTGCTGCTGCCACTGTCAGATCGACCATCCGTCGTCTCCGTGAACTCAACGAAGCTTAACTGAATATCACTATAAATCAATTGAGGCAGTTATAATTTATTGCGTCTGTCGGGATAGCAAAGCGTCTTGAGTCTCGACATGTAGTCATCGTGTCCATGGTAGGAGCCAACGACTCTTCGTTTGCCAGTGAATGCACTTCTGCCGTGGAGTGTGCGCCAGTTGTCGACCATGACAGCAGTGCCTGGCTTCAACTTCATCCAGAGCTCGTTTTCTGGCTTTCGCAGGAGTAACGTCCACTCTTTCAATGCTTGGTAAAACTCGAGCATCTGTTCTTGGTCTCTGCAAAAGATCTTGGTGCGATCGTCGTTGTTGAACCTAATCTGGTGCAAGTGTCCAAACGCGTTCAGTCCAATGATCGGAAACGGTTGCGCTGGCTGGATGAGTGTTTCTTTGTCGCCTGCAGAGTGTGCAGAGAGGAGCGTGCGCGTCAAGACATTGTAAGCCCAAGGAGACTTTTCCTTCAGCTGAAGAGCGACATTGAAGCCATCGACGTAGAGGGATTCACCACCAGTGCCATTGTGTTCTATCACGTGGAAGAACTGCAAGCCGATGGGATCTGTAAAGTAAGTGGTGTCTGTGTGTGCTGGCAATGCTAGATTGGTGTACGCAGTGTCACCATGTGCCAAGTCAGCAGTGAATTCCCACAGTGATCCATAATGCGTCTCTCTGATCCTTGCGATGCGTTCTGCGACTCTTCCAGTGTGTTGGATAGAGTCAGTTGGAATCCCAGTGACCAATCCAATGCCATACTTTTCAATGTTCAAGAGCCATTGCTTCAGTCCATCATCACCAGACATGACCTGCGATGAGTCACCATACCGCGTCGTAGGGAGTCTCTGGAAGCGACTGAGCCAAATCTCTGCCCCAGAGATGAATGGTTTTTGGCTCTTCCTTTGTCGGTGGTGAATAGGCATGATGTTTGAGCCAATCCAAGTCAAATGTGCTCTTGTGTCCACCATCCCCTACTCTCAACTAGAAAACATTCAATCTGGACTGTGCCGTTGACTGTGTGCATCGATTTGACTGCAATGTCGTCTGGAATCTCGTCTCAATCCAAAAACCTGCACTGTATCAACCAAGCGCTGTTTCGTCACCTGATGCCAACATTGGGGGCACTTGCAGTGGTCTCGAAGCCAGAATGGATGACTACAATCACATCATGTACAAATTCGACATCGTTCCATCTCCAAAGGTAATGCGGATGCCTTCCTGGCTAATGCGCTTCTCAGCAGCAGTCCCTAGTGCTCTGCGGGCTCTCAGAAGCAGAGAAGCGTGCTTCATCCTTGGCGTGGAAACTGCCTTTACTCGTTCTTGAAAGTCAGCGACACAGAATTGACACAGTGTCTCTCATCAGTAGGAGTCTTAAATCCCTCTCCCTTGAAGACATGGCCAAGATGACCATCACACTTGGCACACACGATCTCTGTTCGGAGCATGCCCATGGAACGATCTTCATGTCTCTTGACTGCGCCAGGGATAGCATCAAAGTAGGCAGGCCATCCACAGCCAGAGTCAAACTTGGTCGTTGATTTGTACAGCGGCGCATTGCAACCAGCACAGTAATAAGTGCCTTGCTCAAAATGCTTGTTGTACTCACCAGTGCCTGGTGCTTCTGTTCCCTTTTGTCTCAATACACGGAACTGTTCCTTAGAAAGAACTGCTCTCCATTCGTCTTCACTCTTGCTCATTGTTCTGCGAAGAATCTGGGAAAGTCTGAGCATTTGATTTTCCAATAAGAGAAGATCTCAACAGATCTTCCGACCAAATCAGCGACAAAATTCATCCACAGCAAAGATGAGTTTAGGATACTATAAAATTTGGAAACATCCTGTCCAAGAGGCACTATGGCCGAGCGGTCTATGGCGCTGCACTCAAGTTGCAGTATCGAAAGATGCGTGGGTTCGAATCCCACTGGTGTCACTTCTTTTTCCTTTTTGCTGCATCACTTTTCAATCTAACATCATAAGGATGTGGCCATCGTAATAGACCCTTAACGAGTCCACGTTTTCTTGAAATAAGGAGATCCCTTGACAGATTGAACAACGCCCAACATCGGTTATGCGGACTTTTTACTCATTGCTGTCAACACCGAGCGAAGATGCTCAAAAAAAGAACAAACAAGCAACATATTCTTCAATTCTCAAACTGATTCAAGATCCCCTGAATGAATTTTCTACAAAACAACTGTCTTGCTTGCCTCTACACAATTTTAGAATATCAAACAGACAGGACTTTTCAATTTACAGCCAAGACTCGGTGTTCTGTCTTTGAACGGACAGCAACTGTTGGGTGTTGAGGCACGGCGACGTTTCTGTTTGGATGCAGAAATGATTGAACGAGTGATGGAAGTGTAGAAACATGATCTGGATCAAGTGCCATTTGATACAGTTGAAAGTTAGGACAGTGTAATTTCGATCCAGATCTTTCTATCAATCTCTTTTCGTGACCGTTCAATCCCAAACGACAGCTGTGCTCAACAATGGATGATATCATTGTAGTGCGTGGATAGCGGCCAAGTACGAGGGAGAGATGAGGCACGCCTGGAATCCTGGGAATATAGCACAACAAGATTGGCTCAGTAGATTCAGTCATTGAGCTAGTGAAATCAATAGTCTGTGGAATGGAAAAGTTGAAAGACATAGCAATCGCTGAAATGCGCTATCTGAAGAGCGGAAGGGGGTGGAAGGTAGTCCCAGCAGATGAAACATCTTTGAACGATCGTCTCCCATAATTAGAGCGGCCCCGCAATCTCCAGTTCATGTGCTTCCGCGACGGACCTATTTTTGGGTATGACCCCCCTCACAATGTCGCAGAAGGGTACCCTCCTCGGATGCGGCAAGGCTTCAGTCTTTAAGGATCCAAATTTGCAGTTTGCTGCGCAAGAACAAATTCTACATGGACGAGCTGCAACTTGTCATTAGACAGCAACCAAAGAAGGGCAGGATGACAGGCTTTTCAGATGACATTCGCAAACTGTATTCAGCACTCATACCAGTGGACCATCCCTCATTGTGCAACTTCTGATCACCCGAGATGGACAACCAGTCACAGAGATGTACACTCGATCACACTAGTTCAGACACAGAGACAGAGCACTATCTCTGCGCAGTATCACTCATTCAACTGGAGACAGGAACACGAGTCAACGTGAATGAGGATGGACTCGATAGACATGGAGACCTTCGCACATCCAACAATCTGATAGGAAACTGGACATCATCATGCCACCACTACACTGATGTTGACGGCAAAACAGGTCCTTGGTCTTAGGATAGGCTTGTTCTTTCTCTATCCGGACATTGGCATCAGGTCTCCAGGAAAGTATCGCTTTCAATGCGACCTGTACAAGATACAATTGTACACTTGCTCAATCTAGAGATGTGCGCTCCACAGAACCCATTACTACTATCACAAGCCAAGACCTCAAGATACACTCTCCCAAAAACTACCTCAAGCCGGCAGGTCTTGAATCTGATGATAGTTGTCACCAAACTGGCCAAGCATCTCAAGGAACAAGGCGCAGACCATAGACTCAGGTGAAATAGACCAAATCATAAATACTACTAATGTCTACTCTCTCCTTGATTGATTCTGAAAAAGATAAATGTTCTATAATTTGCATTTGATTCTTACTGTTTGTTACATTTACATAAAAGCAGGCAACCTCGAGTTCAAGAGGCACTATGGCCGAGCGGTCTATGGCGCTGCACTCAAGTTGCAGTATCGAAAGATGCGTGGGTTCGAATCCCACTGGTGTCACTTCTTTTTCCTTTTTTCACTCCATTTTTTGACATTCATCAAACTGCTTTGGTTTATGGATTGATGGAGAATAGGAGATCATGTGTTTATGCAGTGCTTGTCCACCAGACGGTATCCGAGAGAACTGGCTGCTGGATGATCTTGATCTTTGGAATCTCGCCATCTTCTTCTGTGGCAAACAAGGGAATCGAATCCTGATCAGCAAACACTTGTGGTGCATGTGTCTCGATATCAACGAGATACGCTCTAAAAGCAACGGTGATTTCTCTCACGAGATCCAGTCGCTTGAAACGAATGAGATTGGGCAAGAGATCCACAAGTTCCTTCTTCAAGTCATTGGTTCTAAGCATGGATTGTCGAATCTGTGTTCTGAGGAACTCGTCTTCAAAGGCAGCGTCTTTGCCAGTAGCTCTCTTTTTGGCCATCTTTCTCTTTTGTCTGGATGTTCTGCTACCATGAATGAAAATACGCTGTGCGTGAAGAGATATTTGACATTCTGCTGGATGCAATCGATCCAGTGACGGTTGTTGCCATACTGGCGGTATCAGAGAACATTTCAATGTCTTGCAACCTTGGATCCATTCCCAAGAGTTTTCGTTTTTCATAAGACTCTCGCTTCTCTTTGAGGACTTGTTGCAGTCGTTGTCGTTGCTTGTTGAAAGTGATGTGTGATTCCTTGACTTCATCAATCAGTAATTCAGCTTCTAAGATGAAAAAGAGTACGTTTGACTGTTGATGGAACAATGTCCTGTTGGATCATGGACTCAAGACCAGATTGACGTGCTAACAGCACTGCATCAGACCAATACTGTCCCTGCAAGAGATAGAGGACAGCCTGTCGCTTGTCATTGAAGATGTGCACAAATAACTGTGAGAGACCAATGAAATCTCTGGATTCTTGCAACTTTTCAACAATAGGTAGCATGATGGATGAAAGTGATGTGGATCCATTCAAGAGCAAGAGATTGTAAGCTTGTCTCCACAACCCGCCTTCCGCATAGCATCCAATCGCTTCTTCGTAGTCTCCACAGAGCTCAAACAGCGTGCCAGCTTCAGCATAGATCTCCAATCCCTGTTGCTGTTGTGCAAACTGTCTGACAATCTGATTGTGTTTTTGGTCGCTGACTTCAAAGAGCGTGAGTGCATGCTTGTAGAGATCGTGTCTGGCGGTGTATTGCAAGAGCTCTTCAAAGTGATCTGCACATTTTGCAAGATGTGACAGTGCTCTGGTGTACTTTTTCAGATGGTCGTCAATCTTGTATCGCTGATAGTTTTGTTCAAGCTTTGATAGTTCTTGCAAGAACGGAATGTATTCTCTTGGATCCTTTTGAGAGTGCTGAGCGACCATCAGAACGAGTGAAAAGTCGTACATTCCCAGAGCAACATCAAAGAGTTTGTTGACGTCTGCCAAAAAGATGAGATACACCAGTGCTGCTTCAGCTTCTTGGTTAGAAGTCTGTTTGATCTTGTAGATTCTCTTCATGCTTGATTCCAATTGTGGTGGGTCCTGTTTGGCATCGCATGTTAAAATCGGTTGAATAAACACAGATGGATCTTGTTCCAGTGCTTGCTGGATGGCTGTGCAGCATTCGTTGACCTTGAACTTGAATGGACTCTCTGATTTCTTTGGTGCTGGGAACATGGTCGTGCAAATATCATCATTGACAAGAGAGGTGATCAAGAGGTTGAGATGGTCTGGATTGCCAATCATCTTGACAATGTCGTTGATATTCTCCAAGAACTGGACTGGATGATGGTCAATCAGGATATTCAAGTCAATACGGTGTCTTCTGCAGATCAAGAATGCTTTTTTGTAATCCAAGTGTTCGATCAAATGTCTGACTTGCGACAAGACTAATGCTCGAGGAGAAATGGTTTCCAGGTTGCCACGAGGCATTTGCAAGACAAGATTGACATCTGCTGGAATGCAAGTCACAATTTTGGATCCTTGCTCCACTTTTCTGATCTTTTCGTCAAACGGTCCAGTTCTCTCTTTGAATTGAAACTCTTCCAGATGCTGGTTCAACATCAAAAATTCACAAGTGTGTCTGAGAGTGGTGATGATGAGATACTCATTGTGCACAAAGTAAGATGTGCATTCACTAGAAATCATGCGATCGTTTGCAAAGAGCTTGTTTCTGTTGTTGAGTGCAAAGAACACGAGTTCGTCTCTTTCTGGACCACACAAACTGGATTGGATCCAAGAGTTGGTGGGTAGTTTGTGTTTCAAGACCGGGAATCCATGCAAGAGCTGGTAAACTGATCCATTGTCGGTTTGAAAAGCGATGATGTTGTCTTGCAAGTTGTGGTGCAACATCACGATGGGTGCCTTGTCTCCAATGTCAATGAGCTGCTTTCCCTCTTTTGTGATCAAGTACATGAAGTCGTAATGTTCAGATATGTTGTGTCCCAAGACCAGAAACTCGTCTTCAGCAGTCCAGAGTACTTGTCTGAATGTGCAATTGTCCTGTTTGAGCGCAATTTCTCCCAATACAGTTGGATTCTCAGTGTTGATGTCGCCAATCAGCTGCAAGCTGTGAGAGAGCAATGCCACCAGTCTGTGGTTGGATTGGAACGCAACATCGACGACTGGACTCTTGAACTTTGTCTGTGCAAATGACATTGGTGGTGGCACATTTCTGGTTTTGAATGGTGTCAAATGCAAGTCTGTGCCATCCAAGACGGCAACGACAGCATCAGAATCATGCAAGAGTGTGCTTTGCAAGACAGCAAACTGAAACTCGTATCGCTTGTACAATCCTTTTCCAAGTGTGTGCAAGACATATGGATGCTCTGGATCCCACTGCATGCATTGGAAATCGCAGTCTGTGAGTTCCTTTTGGAGATACCAATAGTAATTGCTTGACGAGTACAACTGAATGACATTCTCTCCAGATTCTTTTGTCAGATGCACTGCAAGAATGGTGGAATCGCTGTTCCAGTCGATGTCTTTGACGATGCACTTGTCTCTGAGGTTAAATTCGCCGTGTCTGAGGCCGTTGCGTTCAAAAAAGACAACTTGCTGCAGATGTGTGCTTGCGGTAGAGGCAATGAGATTGCCACTTGGTCTCCAAGAGAGTGGATGTTCAAGACCATTGACTGGCTCGCTCTTGTTGGTCATGACTGCTTCTCTGTTAAAAACACGCAGCACACGATGCTCT